ACAGAGTAGTTTTTCTCTCGTCTTTTTCATTTCATCACCACCGCGTTTTTTTTCTAACAACAGCAGCAGCAGGAGCACTCCTGCTGTATTTACACTACATACAGCTGCTGGACCGCCGTACGACTGCTGTATATATGTACATCATCACAGCAACAGAGTTCGTCAGATGACTGAACTCACCCGTTTTCCGCTGCCACGAGCGAACGCGTTGATGATGTTGCCACCTAAAACACCTTGGGCAGCTCGATCCCTGGCTTGCTTCCCCCGATCTGCAACCTTTCTCTTCCCGGCAGCCGCAGCAGCAGTAGCAGGCGGTGGGTGCGAAGACGGTGCACCTCGCGCGCCGCCCGCATCTTATGGCGTTAAAAACGACGGACGGGTGCTGCTGGTAATACCCTGGGCCTCTCCATCAATCTGCGTGATCCACTCTTCTTCGTTGAAGACACCCGTCTGCTTCAGCCCCCATGCGTTCTCGATTGCGTCCCATCGCTCCTTCGCAACGGAGTTGCCCGCCTTCACATGTGCCTTTATCGTCTCGAAGTGACGGTCAAGAATCAGTCCTCTTTGTTTCAACTCCGAGAGTTTGCCAAGGTCCTTCAACAACCCATGGGATAAGGGGTTGGACAGGGACATGATCCCCCTGCACGGCAGGCAACTCGTGGCACGCTGCACCACGTTGCGTGGTAAATTAAAAAAACTCGCTGGCACGGGGCACGACGTGTATGTACAGCAGACCCCCACCTCAAAAAAAATCTAAGAAGGGATAAGTCTAGGTAGGTACCAACTTGGGAACGCCTCCCCCCCCTCTTCCTCCTCCATCTATGTATGTTCTTCTCTCGCTACCGCCGCGTCATGTAGTATGTTCTTATCTGTAGCACCAGTCGTACACCTCACTGGAGGTTCTTATTTTAACAGCAGGTCCGATCTGAGCACGTGTTCTTACGGGCAAATTCTTTAACAACCCTGCAGTTGCCATTCGTCGCTTAACCCTGGGATGGGAACCAAGAACCCCAGCCTCAGCCAAAACCAGAGGTTAAGTGGGACGTTCAAGGTAGCATTGGCGATGTCCTCTTGTGCCGCCCCCGAGAGTCAAGTCACGAAACTCCCGAAGGGAAGCCTTGACATGAATATATGAGTTCGTCGAACATTCAGAGCTTGATTTTTTTTGTTTACTTTCTCCATGTTGGTTCTTGGCATGTCGGAAAATTCAGGGCCTCAATGGTGAAGTCTATTCATATCGCCTGGATTGCTCCACCCCGAGGGGTACAGTAGAGAGCGTAGCAGAGATAAAGAGATGGCGTGCCTTCAGTTTTCCTATTGGTCAATATTGGCGCCCTCCGTTTCTTGACAGCAGTAAGACTACAGAACCGGCCCGCACTTAAGAATATGGACGTTAAGAATTTGAGCCTAAAAAAATCCAATCAAAGTGCATCTCAACGTTCCACGTACAAACAGCCGACTATAATCATGTACGGGGCTCCTTGACTTTTCGTGTGCGTGTGATTGCGTGCGTTGTCTAGCGGCGTCTTCGCACAGATCCTGCTGCTGCTGTGACCCGCTCCGTTTGATGGATGGTCCTCATGGATTTGTACCAATTGTTGATCGTAGTGTGTGGAAACGTCTGTGCACGTTGCGCAGGATTCAAGGGTCTTCCTGTTTACGCATACAAGTGTTGAATTTCTTTGTCAAAAGGCTTTTCGGCTTCGAAACGCCTCCCCGCGAAATCGAGCCAGACCCACTCGCGGCGACTTTTGTTGTCGATTGCACGTGCCACGGATGCCTGGCGGTCCTCGGGCATGCGCGGTATTGTACCGGGGAGCCTCCTGCATGCCCCTGACAAGGAACCATGAGAAGAGATGCGCTGCCGCGAGAGAACATGTGCCTTAGCACGAAAAACAATCTTTTGATACGAATGTACATGTTGTACCCTTTGATATTCAGCAAATTCCTGTCTGGAGAAAGAAGTCCCCCGAGGTAGTGTACGTTTCATTAATTGATCCAAGTCAAAACCAGCTGCGGGAGCTACGGGGAAAGCGGGGTTGGGTTGTTCAAATATCGGCCGCAGTGCCGCTGTCATACAGTGTACGACATGACCCTGTTCATTGAGAGGCTATCCACCACTCAACCACGGAAACCATGGTCATGCCGGAAGAGGCTGCTCCTGCAGGCCATAGTCTAAGCCCAGGGCTCTACATGGAGTTTGATGGGATGGCAAATTTGATGGTATTGGAATGGTTGGAGATTTTGAATCCCATCACGTGTACCATCCCATCGGATAATCGTACCATCCCATCCCATCTAGAGTTTCCCATCCCATCCACACTCCCATCGCAATGGGTTTGCCCATCCGAGCCACTCCCATCACAGGAGCATATCCCATGCCAGTCACTCCCTTCACAAAGCGTTCCCCATCCCAGCCACGTCCACCAACATGAGACCTATCCCATCTAAATACCAGCCAGACTCACATTTCCCACTGCCCATCCCCCTGCCTATTCTAGTGTAGAGCGAACCCCCCGTTGCATCAGTTGGCGCGCCCCCCGCTGCCGCTCCCACTCGGCCTGCTGTGCTACTGCTGTGTGTATGCACCAAACATGGCGGCATGCGAAGTCAACAGTGATGCCAACAATAGTGAGTCCACCGTTGTATACGACAGTCTATCGCAACAGCTCCCACAGCAGCACCCGCTAGCAACAGTGGTGTCAACAACAGTAGTAACTCTACAACTCAGTCTCCAGCAACAGCTAGCTTCCGCTGCTGGCGCTCGCGCGGATGGTTCTGAACAGCTATTTCGGCGTAGCATCTCGTATGAAGCGGGTATGTGTGCATAAACAAGGCTCCCCTACGGGAGGTAGGCGACTTGCCTCCCGGGGGCGACGCAAGAGGACATGGCCGATGTCATCTCGGTCGCATCGTTGCATCTCAACGTCATGACGTTCGGTAGTGCCGGTTTGGCGTGCAACCTGCAGAATTTGCCTGGAATTTGCATCATGTGCGGGTTATTTTTTTTCTCCCGCCGTGACTTTGCGCTTGTGCGTGAGTTTGTGTTTTAGGCTATTGGCTTCTGTGCTCCATGCCCTACTGCTTTAATCCGCTCGTTTGATCACTTGCTCCCATGTGATTGTGTTGCCCGTAGACGGGGGAAAATTTCGCGCAAATACCAACGACGGATCGAAGAGACGCTCAACTTGCCCAAGAGCGGTCACAGACAGACATGCACTGCTACCAATTATATTTTGATTTTTTCGATTTTTAGGATTGAAATTAACATCACCGCTGCCAGAGTTGTGCGAGAGGACTTCTGCGTCTCGAGATGTGCTCCCATGAGCAACATTTAGAGCCTTGTCCCCTTTTGCGGCGATGAAAAAACGGTGTTTTCATCTGTGATTGAAATCCGTCCTGTGTTTGCGGCACACGCGGGACTGCACCACACAGAAAACTGCTGTGTTGGAGTTAGCTAGTTGAAGAAAAAAAGCACTCCGTTGCTAACAAAAATTTTCAGATTCCAACGGATGCCAATGTCGGGGGGATCTGTTGTCCTTGACTCCGTTGCAATGTACCATGTGTGTTGAGCTCCAGCGCCCTGCTGGTCTTTCAATTAATATCGTGTATGCTCTCAACAGACGAACAACGCGAAAATCTCTTTACGGAAAAGACATACGCAACTAAATACCAGACCGCAAAATAGGAAACTCCCCGCTTAGAAGTGTTCTGTTCAGTTTTTCAAGTATTTCTGAAAGCTTTTTGGTTTGGATTCGCGACCCCTGGAATAGAGCCAATCCCGGCGACGCTTGAGCGACTATCACGCGCACCACCGTTGTCTAGCGAGCCCCAAACGTAACGCGTAATGACCGAACGGTCGTCTGAAGCCATGCTGAAGAAGGCGAAATAAGAATGCTGTCCCGGCAGAGAGAAAAAAGAACAAAACCCAAAAAAGAGTGGGATTGTTGTATATGTCCGCGACTTGGAAGGGAGAGACTGAATATCGCTTGTATTAGAAACGCAGAAGCAAGAGAAGAGAAGAAGAGTGCTTCCGGAAAACAGAGAAGCAGGGGTCACAAACACAAGAACCCCAAAATGGTATGTCTACGTTCCTATCTGCGAATATATCCGTTACTGCGGTCGATCAATACCTGTCCGTATCCAAACACACGAACACCCTCCCTGGTTTTTCACGCAAGTGGCAAACCATCCGTGGGGCATGGTTACCCCTGATCAGACCTAGGGACTCTAAACAGTAACGGTGCAAGGGAAAACCCGGCCATCCGGATCAAAAACCCTCGCCTACCCTAAACATATATAACCGTCGCTATCACGGAGGATTCCAACGGCCGCACTTCCAAGACAAGATCAAGGCAGGACAAATTGTACCGGGCACGGGGATTACGCATCTCTCGGTAGCGCTACGGGCGCTTCTAGGCTCCAACCTCGAGTGACGTGCCGGTAAATCCTTCCTGCGTGACGTACCATGATCATAAAGTCCAGTGCT